TTGTATAAATTATTTTCCAGAGAGTAAAACCACTCATATCCCAAAAATGGTTCTCTTTTTTATACAGCAGTCGCATTTCAGGCTAGTATATTTCGGGACGCATGGATAAGGATTGGGCCAAGAGTTTCTGTAATGGAATCCAATTTTTGGCAGCAAATTTCAGTTACGCGGTTTTGCAGAATGACGATACGCGGTTTTGTACTTTAAACGACGATATGTATGTATGTATGTATGTATGTACAAATGTAAAGCATTTGCCAGAAAGTGAATAGGGCAATGCGCTCATAATAATGTACAATAAGTTATAATGCAAATATTGTAGAATATAACACACCCCAGATTATTTTGCTACTCGAACCAATTATACAAAGTTAATTTCTTGTTAATAAGCGAATTTGTATCGCTATCACAAATCGCGAGAGAGCTCTGCGGGTTAAGGTAGATTAGCTATTAGCAGTCAACTTTAAGCTGATTTTGAACAGTTCGCCTTCTTGTTGGTTATTTACAACTCAACACTCCAGCCGAGCGGTGGTGATATCGCACAGTGCCGTATCATATAAATACATACATACATATCTTTATGGTATTTGTTCACATAACCTGAATATTGATTTACTGCCGCGATCGTTAACGACAGTTTAATTGCTTTTTTTTTTCCTGGCATCATTGTAAATATGACAGGCGCAGACGGTAAATATTTGTACTTTTTTAAAACCATTATATGCAAGTATGTATGTCAAATTCGTTAACTGATAGATATGCAGCACCACGTACATGCTAGGGATGTTAATTTTTTCACTTTTTACGATCCCGAGATTTTCGGGATTTAGATATTCATTAGTTTTCAACAACTTAAATCGAAAAAAAATTGCTTCTATATTGTTTTAGAAGCTCTCCTACCATAAAATAAATAATAAATAAATGGGTTTGAAGCCTTTTTTATTTAAAGGGCGTTTTTATTTTTTCTCTCAGGATTTATTTTCAAGAACTTTGTAATTTCAAAAATATATGATTAATTCCAAAAATTATTTAAAAAATTTATGCAATGTAGAATAAAAATATGGGTACCAAATGCAAGAGGAAATTTCTTTAGATTTAAAAAAAAAATTAAAATTTTTTAGATTCACAAGGACGAATAGGTATTTTTTTTAAACTGATAAAGTTAGAAGGACGAAATTCGAGGATGATTTCGAGTTTTTATAAGCCCTTAAGATATAATTTTTTCAAAAGTAAATATTGCAAAATTTCAAGGATAAAATTTTAAAACGACATTTTCAATACTTACCCGTCCTTATGCACCAAAAAATTCATCTGTTTAAAGGTATCCACATACCTACCTATGCAATTCTGTCGGTGCAAATCTGTTCCGACAAAAATTACAACAATGCCGACCATAGTTTTAAATAAATGAGGAACCACGCACTGTACGATTTTGCTGCAGCGATTTATTCGCACATTCACAATTCTTCTTTTCGTCGTGCCGAAATCGCAGACTGCTGCGTTTTGAGAACGAAAAAGGTCAATAGAAGGATTTTACAATATTAAAACAAAATTGAACGTAAGAAAACGAAACATATTTGATGTAGAAAAGTTAATAATTTTATTTTTGTTGAAAAATATTTTTTGTTTGTCTATAAATTTACAGTGTTTTACTGCGATAAAATCGCACAGATGTGTGATGTCTGTAGCATCAAAAACGGTACGAATTCGTTACGAAAGAATCGCGTAGATGTGTGGATACCTTAAATTTTACAAATTTTTTTCTTTAATTTGGTACCTACACTTTTTCTCTAAGCACATTTCACTGAATTTTTTAAATCATTTTTGAATTACTGACGTCAGAGTGAAAAATTTACTATCGCACGGTGTTCTACATATGTATGTATATTGAGCTAGACATTTATAAAAAAATATTAATTATCAAATAAAAAATAATATACATACATATGTATATAGCGAACACTGGTCAAGAAGATTATTTGCCAAGAATCCCGGGATATTCGGAACTTAAAATGACCGGGATTTCGGGACTAACATTCCTAGTACATCCATACGTATTGTATTGTGCAATCTTACGTATGTACATACATACATATGTACATGTCGTCCACGTTCTTCAAAAGTGTATGTTCTGAAAATTTTAAATTTTTCAGTAAAATTTAAAGAAATTTTTTCAGTTAATTTGTTCCAAAATACCATGATTCAATAATTAAAGGTTTGCTCAATATTGACATTCGAGTTTTGACACTCCCTTAACTCCCTTACAAGAGCTTGCACACACACACGAACCCACACACACTGCCTTGCTAAGGGAGCCGATTCTGTCAAAAGGGAGCCAGAAAACTGGGCTCGAATCGTCACATACGATTCGTATTACTCGTCACGTAAAAACACATTTTTCGTATTATGACATACGTGAACGTACTCTTTACCCCACTCAGCTTATACGACTGACGGTATCACGTAATTTTCTTTCGTATGGTTTTCGATCTGTAAACGGATGTGACGATTCGAGCCCTGTTTTCTGAGCAAACCTTTTATTATTGAATCATGCCAAAATACCACAGTATGTCTTTAAGATGAGCTTAAAATTTGTTTAATTTTCTGACCAACGGAAATTTTTAGTTTATCGCACATTTGCTGCAAGAGGGTCGATATTTTCTAAGAGAAGTATGACTGCGCACACGTAAGCCGGATATGCACATATGTATGTAATAGGGATGTTACGAATGTGGAATTTTAGACATCTGCGGATGCGAATGTATTTTTAAGAAATAATTTAGATGGGTAAATTAGGTGATTTAGGTAAATAAAAAATGGAAAGGTTAATAATTTTTAATAATCCGCCTTATCCTTAGTTTTGTCCCAAAAAAAATTCACCCGAAAATTTGTATTCCGCCCATAGGAAATATGTACATGAAAACCAAAAGTAAAAAGTAAACCGGTTCGGGGAAAATTAAACTCATGATAAGACCGAATGTTTTTTTAGTACTTGAATTTAAAAATTGGAACATTGTACTTAATAAAAACTTTTCGAAGGGTCGTAAATCCAACCTGCGCCTCTATATAACTTCTTTTCGATTGACACTGCACCCGTTGAGAGGACTTTCAGTTATATTTATTTATTTTTATTGCGGTGCAATAATTACTTTTTGAGAATTTCATCGGGGCTGCAAATGTCGGATGTATCTTCCTGACTTGCATCTTCACAATCTAGCATCATGGCACAATCGTTGTTTAAACAACGTTTTTTTTTTCAAAGAATTCTTCATTCTCATTCTTTTTGTTGTTTCGGAATTTGGAGAACCTGTCACGTCATCAGCGTTTTTCGATTTTAGTTTTTGAAACTCATTTTTAATGCTTTCTTCTGTGACTGTGCGCTTGGACAATATTCTATGGACCGAAAATAACAGTTATTTTGTCCGAGTTAAATTTGGCCTTATATTCTTCATTCCAAAAAAAACCTCCTATCAGAATAATAAACAAACCGCTTATCCAAATGAAACAAATTTGGTATCATATGAAAGAGGACTGATATAGCTTTTAAACAGAAATAACGAATGGAGGTTACCACCTCTATTTATATTTTTTTATAACTTAATACTAAAGAAATTGATGTAAATACATACCTGACCCAATGTTTGTTCTATGGTAATTAATTAACATTTTGTATTGAAATATTTTTCAATGTGTGGCTTTCCTCGTTTAGACATTTCAGTTTTAAAGCTATTTCAGTCCTCTTTCATTGGATACCAAACTTGTTTAGTTTGGATAAGCGGTTTGTTTATTATCCAGAAAGTACATTTATTTCGGAATAAAAAATATTTAGCCAAGTTTAACTCGTAAAAAATAACAGCAATTTTCGGTCCCTTCAATATTCACATTCGCAAAAGATCCGCATTGATTTTTGCGAAAGCGAATGCGAATGTTAAAATTAATGCGGAAGCTCCGCGGTTGCGAATGCGAATGCGAATATTCGCAACAACCCTGGTATGTAAGTACGTCTGTATGTACATACAAAATAAAATGTAAATACATTCCTACATATACATATCTCAGATTGTATCATAAAAGACTGAGGTAAATTTTATTGTTTATGGAAGCATTTGACAAGTGAAAAATTAACTGAGTTTCTTGTGAAAGCCGATTGTGATTGTTTCTGTATAAGCAGGTTATATATTCATATATATGTACGTATGTACAATGGGGCGGTCCAAAAATGCATGTGAAAAAGTAAAGTCGGAATTTTTATGCTCACCCCTAGGATTGCTCTATACCGAAAAAATAACCCTTATTTTTTATTTTGAAATCAAAAAATACGAGGTCGTTCAAAGCGCCCAAAGGTTTCCATGTATTTTATATGGGGAAAAACCACTTTTCGTAGAAATGGTATAGAATTCTTGAAAGTCAATATTTTTCGATCGGAAAACTCTGGTTCTCTTCAGGAGACTTTCAATAATAATACCCAATTGTTTGTTTAACCATTTTTTCATTGCAACTATAATTTATAGGTCCGCCAAAAACCCACAAAAAGCCCGAAAAATGCAATGGAGCGACTAATAAAAAATCGTTAGTATTAAAAAATGGCTAAATAAACAATTGGGTATTATTATTGAAAGTCTCCTGAAGAGAACCAGAGTTTTCCGATCGAAAAATATTGACTTTCAAGAATTCTATACCATTTCTACGAAAAAATGTCAAAACAAAAAGGCGACGGCAATATTTCTGGTTTAAATTGTTTTGAAACCGCCACACAACACCGACTTTATCGACCGCCGATATGTGCTGAAAAATTTATACAATTAATAAATTTGCATGACTTTTATATGTTTAGATGGATATACTTAAATAAATGATTGTTTTTTCATTGGTGCAACTAGGCGAACTGGTGCAAAATTAGTTGCTTCCAGATTTGATTTAACCTTGTTGCTTATTCTCAATCTATTGTCTTATCTTAAATGTACATACATGTGTTAATATGTACGTATTATGATTTTCAGCCGGTTTATACGAGCAGCAATTTCCCAACATGCGTTCAACAATTTCCAACAGTAGTAAAAAACTCTGCCGATTAACTACGATAACAAACAAATTTCCAATACTAAAATGGCTACCTAAATACGAGATATCGTTTTTATTCCGCGATGCTATTGCTGGATTCACAGTGGGTCTTACGACTATTCCACAAGCAATCGCTTATGGTGTCGTCGCGGGCTTACAACCCCAATATGGACTTTACGCGGCATTTATGGGCTGTTTTACCTATATTATATTTGGTTCTTGCAAGGACGTTACCATTGGTAAGGTTGAGAAAACCAGGTTTTATGCGCGAGATTAATAATTTATTTTATTGCTTATTTAAATATTTAAATGAATGTATTTAGCCACCACTGCAATTATGGCATTGATGGTACATGATTACGCGATTATAACACCGGACTATGCCATCTTGATATCCTTTTTGGCTGGCTGCATTATATTGCTGCTAGGCATCTTTAATCTGGGCGTGCTTGTGCGATTCATTTCTGTTCCAGTCATCACGGGTTTCACAATGGCAGCAGCCTGCACAATCGGTAGTGCACAAATCAACAATCTCTTTGGAATGAGCAGTAAGCAAGCAACTATGAAAATTCATTAAGAATGCGCCAGGGCATTAACAAACACATCCTTTACTTTATCATATCGATGTCCTATTCGTAGTTTCAATGAGTTCAACTATGATTGATTTGTGTAAATCATACTGTAACTGTCTCGAAGTCACGTAGCATAAATTCGACTTATATTTAGCCGGTTTTATTGGATATTTAAAAAGATCATTACCTTTAATAATCCGTATGCCACACAACTAAATTAAAAGGCAACTGCAAGTATATTTTCATTCCTATATTTTTGTATTTTAGTTCTTTTCAATGCAGCTTTGGAAGAGCACTTTATGTATATGTGCAATATAAATAAAGAAAATACATAATTGTTTACTTCAAAGGTCCGTCGAATCAATTAATTCCATCGTGGAAACATTTTTTTACACACCTCACATCAATTCGTATGAATGACTCTTTACTTGGCGTATGCAGTCTAATCTTTCTTCTATTGATGAAGGTAACTCAACACACATTATTTTTAATCCAACCATGCACATATGTACTTATTACAAAAGTGTCAACTTTTTAGGAAGTAAAGAATATACCCTACGGAAACAAGACTTTTTGGAAGTATATTTCCCTGTCTCGCAACGCCTTGGTAGTCATATTCGGAACGTTTTTGGCCTACCAGCTAAGTCGGGATGGATCTGAACCTTTCAGAATTACTGGTAATATTACAGCAGGATTGCCACCTTTTCGAGTGCCTCCCTTTAGCACATACGTTGATGGAGAGGAAGTCGCTTTCTCGGATATGATAAGCACAATAGGCTCATCATTAGCATCAATACCTTTGGTAGCGATTCTAGAAATAGTAGCCATTTCTAAAGCATTCTGTGAGTATATTTTTCATTCGGTATTGATACCATAATATCTAGATTTGTACATTTGGCCGGGTCGAATGAGTTTTGAATGGAGAAAAATAAAAGCTTTTTAAAGATTTTATAAGTAATAGTGATATTAAGTTACCTTGGCTCTAAATAAATAACAATTGTCTTACAAATTTGGAAATTTTTCAAAATTTAATAGTCTCAAGACGATGTGAAATAAATAAATAATAACTGATATATCAAATTAAAGGCTATAAAGATTAGTATCTCAAGTTAAAACATAATTTTTCAAAAAATGTATCCGAGTTGTGTAAAGATTTTATCGAGCTTTGTACTTCAGTACTTTACTAAAAGAACCATGGGTATGGCGTGATTTCGACAGTTTCCAAAATCGCGATAAATGAAGTCCAATGCGGGTTGTCCGAAATTAGGTATCGTAATTTCATTCCTTATTAAATCTGTCTTAAAAAAAAATGAGCAGATTATAAAATAATGGAAGAAAAATGTAGGATACATAATATATACAGATGATTAAAACTAATAGTTATTTTGGACTTTTGTTCATTCGAAAAATTTTTTCTGAAAAATAGAAATGTAGTTTTAACGATTAAATTGTGCTTTTTTAAGGACTATAACAGTCAATTCCTTGACGTAAACCAGTGCTTGTACGAAAATGCACTAGCCCTGGAATAATCTTCGAAAATTCTATCAAATAATATGAAACCATTAATACAATTGTTATTAATAGTAAATGTTATGGAAATTTGCATAGGGGCACAAAGCATCTCGAACATTAATTAACTAATCACCAAATCTGCTTAATCAAATAAAACTATATTACAAACACGCACTTGATGTCATAAAATACCGTATGTTTTTTTTTTTCAATTTTACTAATGGATTTCAGGAAAATACCAATTTCGACCCACCCCAAAGTAACTAGATACTTACATATTTCCATAAATATGTATATGAATGCACAGATTACTTACTATGTGCATTTAGTATGTTTTAAGTAATTTAACTTCTTTACAGCCAAAGGGAAAATTGTTGATGCATCTCAGGAAATGATTGCCCTTGGCATGTGCAACATCATGGGAAGTTTTGTGTCATCTATGCCGGTGACAGGGTCATTTACAAGAACAGCTGTAAATAATGCTAGCGGCGTTAAAACGCCCTTGGGTGGCGCGGTAACTGGTGCAATGGTATTGATGGCATTGGCTTTTCTCACTCAAACATTCTATTATATCCCGAAAGCGACGTTGGCATCAGTCATTATTGCAGCTATGATATCTCTTGTCGAACTTAAGAAAATTCCCGATATATGGAAATCAAAAAGTAAATATATGTATATATCGTTACCTAAATACAGAAAGGCCTCTTCTCACATTTTTGTTCCTTCAAACATAGTTTTAAAATTTAGCGAAAAGCAAGGTTCTGCAGTTGCGAATTTCGTCCAAGTGCTGAATTTTAATTTTATTAAACATAATATTTTATCTAACGCTATAATATTTGGTTGCCATTTCTATTAGATAAAATGTGAGCTATTTGACAGATTTTGTATAAATCTGGATTCGAAATCAAAATGAGTTAGGGCCTTTCTAATATTAAGGTAATGATATACACTAAAAAAGAACGTACTTTACTTGTACATTTCCTCATACATAGCTACATATGTATTTATTACTTTTCATTTTAGGACTAGATATTTTTCCGTTTATAACGACATTTTTTACATGCCTATTCTGGAGTCTTGAATACGGAATTATTTGCGGTGTAGTTGCCAATATTTCATTTATACTGTATAGAAGTGCAAGTCCCCAAATACACATAGAAAAGAAAAGGGTAAGCCGGATTTTCCAAAATCATGGCATAAATGATCCGATTTTATATTTTTTTTATAGGTTTATAACTATGATATATGCTTTGTAAACGTCAAACAAAGGCTGGATTTCGCTTCTGCTGAGTATTTGAAAGAAAAAGTTGTCAAGTTTATGAACGAATATCGATATGACATAAGTCTCATTGTTATAAAAGGAGAAGAGATTAATTCCATTGATTATACAGTTGCTATGGTATGTACATATAAATATACATATATTCTCCCATACATACATACATACATACATAAACATATATTCTCGTCACTAGACACGAATAAGGCGCGCTAGTGTTTCGACGGCGAAAAAAGACGCGTAAAAAAATTTACCCGTCATTTTGCAGCCATAGTCTGCGCCGCAGGTTTAAGGGTACATCTTCTAAAATAGTTGGAAGCCGTTCCTGAAGGAACTTTAAATAACTGTGAGAGTTGAGCGTTGGCTGGCGGCAGTTCCACAAGTCCCAATATCTGACAATTAAAAATACCGCACCATAAATTTATTTTGTACCGTTACCGTGAAGGTTATGTAAATTAAAATAACCATCACGTTTGCATGATGATTCATCGCTCCAAATTACTTTATTAAAAAAGGTGGGGTCTGATGCATGCATTCACAACATTTCACGGCAAAATCTAACCCTCTTGTAGAGCCTGAACACGTTGAATGTGGTAGGGATGAAATCGATGGTCTTTTAAAGCTTTGTGAACTGTAGTTTTTGGTATTCCCGTCCGTCTTTCCATCATGCTCACTAAAGTCGATGGACCTAGTTCCATTTCCTCTAACAAAACTTCAACATCTACCGTTGCAGGACGTCCTGTTTCACCGCCACGCCTTCCAGGTATGCGACCTTAAAAAAGTGAAAAATGATAGTTAACAAGCAAGCAAACAGGAAAGGTGTAAAAATCACTTACCTTCATATATTTCTCTATGGGTCCGGGCGAATACATCACGACCCGAAAGGCTTCTTCATCCGGCCAAGCATTTTTCTTGAACCTTGGATCGACTAAGATTATAACTGATAAAATAGTATTTCTCTGTTGCGATAAGTTTAAGTGTTTTAGCCGACATCATATAAATTAGTAATGAAAGTTTTTTCTAAACTTGAAATGCATATAATGGCGAAGGTTTAATGTAAAGAATCGGTATCGGGTACCGAAAAGTATTGGGTACCGTAATCTCTTCTAAGTATTGGGTACCGAAAATTCAGCATATCACTAGAGAGCAGTTTTATCTTGCCCTCAGTTGTCAACTCTACGATGACGTCCCGCCAAAATTACTCTCACGAATTCTGCTGCAATCGGCGCAATCTTGTATTCTATTATTCTTGAACTCACCTCATATCAGCTCACCGAACCAAATTAGAAATAAAATTGATTTCTTGATTTGTGATTTGATCAATTCAAAATCACTCAATATTTTTGACTGTAAGCATAGGTATTTTCTCGGCGCTTGGTTTTAAATTATTAAATTTTCCACACTTTAACATGTTTCGCCTTGTATGGAAACATGTAAATTCAAAACACAATTTAATATTCTGAGGGCCGGTTGTTCAATGTCTGATTAGCACAAATCGGAGATAGAAGCTCCGGTTAAGTACAACGACTGCTTTATCGATCACATGTTACATGCATGATGTCGAAATCGTCGATAGTGCAGTGGTAGCGATAACCAGACATTGTACAACCGGCCCTAACACAAATACAAATCAAATCATAAATCAGAACACTTGCAGACATGAATATTTTTCTATTTCAGAACATTATATCACTTAAAGAAGATCTGGAGGTGCTCAAATGTGATCTTTTATGCTGGAATTGGAACATAAGCGCTGCGGGAGTTATTTATAGATTGAAGAATGATTTATACGGCATATTTAAGAATGAGCATAGCATCGAGGAGATAGTAAATAATTACTACGTAAATCTACAAAGAAACAACAATAGCTCAAATGATACCGTATACACAAATATTTCATAAATAAGAATTGTTTAGTATTAAATGATATTAGAATTAAATGTTGACTGTGCAGTGTCTGCATATTAGCAGCAATCAACGTAACTATGTTTTTAAGTATACCTATGTATATAGGTAGCTTTTTTTTAATAATAAACTACAATAGCTGTGATTTTGCACGTATTAGGGCTGCAAGGTAAAAGCTTCACGACAATTGCCTATCATAAACAAAGCATTTTGATTTTATCAACCGCTATTTCATAAGCATTCATAAAATTGTGTGATAATCGTCCCATAAATATTTGTAGAGAAGATACATATCGCTCGGAAGACCGTCATAATCAGTAAGAATCGAGCTCAGAGGACATTTCACAACAATATCAGACTCAAAAAATTAGAATTTGTATTTCTTACAATTTTACTCGTTTCCACATTTTTTAGCTACTATAGTGATGGAGCCTGACTAAGGGCCGGTTACTCAATGTCTGGTTAACACTAATCTGCGGTTAAACATCGTTATCGACGTCTTCGACTCCATGCATACAACATGTTATATGCATGGAGCCGAACACGTCGATAACGATGTTTAACCGGGGATTAGTGTCAACCAGGCTTTGAGCAACCGGCCCTTAAAGTCATATAATACATGCATTTATATGCTTTGAAATAAACTTAACAAACCATACAAAAAAAATCGGTACTTTTTTCCCATTGGAATTATAAAATCTATTATATTTTAAGACGTCCACCAAAATATTTCGGAAAAATATTAAGGTTTACGTGAGCTGGACCGATTTGAAAATACCTCTAAAAAAGGAGTTTTTTATGAATAAAAATAGTTCCTTAAACATTTTTTTTTTTAAATCCCCTCAAATGACAAAATGGTTTAAGGTTAAAAAAATTTGCATAAAAATATTTTAAAAAAATTTTAACGGAATCGTAATAATACGATGCTGTTTTTTTGACTTTTTCCAAAGGTTGGTATAAAAAAAGTCTTTAATAACTGAACCTTGTGTCATTGGAAAGGTATTTTCTCACCCTTTTTATTTCTTAGCTAATAAACTCATTCAAAGGATGAAAGATAAAGGTAGTATGAACGAACGTCATTCAAAGTTGAATTAAGATGTGTTGGTATTTGAAAAAAAAAATGGGACACGAATAACCCATAGGTCTAAATCAGAATAATTTTGGCCCAGTTATTCAAGTTTTTCGTAAATAAATTTTTGAAAAAAGTAAAAAAAAAGCATCAAAATCTCATTCTTACGAACCTATCGTTTGACACTTTTCATGAATTTGCCAGAAGAAAAACTCCGGACTAAATCTTGAAACTTCATTCTGGGAACAGTTGCTCAGTTACTCTCACGGGAGTGTTCCCAGATACAGAATTTTTGGCGTACGGGAACGACTTTGGACTAAATCCTGCAAAACCTGCAAATCGTAGACGTGCTGGAACGCTCTATATTTTTGTGACTTGAGATTATTTGGCTATTCAGTAGGAGAGAGTTACAAAAAGTTCACCAAAAATGTGTGGTGGAAACAAACACGGACAGTCAACTGATAGGGTTTACGTATGCCTTTTGCCGCGCTGCCCGAAGAGTCGCAATAGTCGAGTGGTCAAAGCATTAGGCTGCCAGTCGAGCGGGTCTGGGTTCGAGTACTCCTCGGGCAGAGGATTTATTTTTTATTTTTTTTATGTAGTATTTTTTTTCTTTCTTTTTTAGTTTTATTTTTTTTTAATAATCTTTAGATTTTAATGTTAAAAAAAAATTTCTTTTTCAATGGGTTTGTATATTAAAGCATTTTGGTTTATTTCCTAACGAAATTCTTATTGGAGAAATTTCCTCGCTTCATATTCGCGTTTTTTTTTAATAAAATGGAAAACAACTAACTTTCTCCATATTTTTATTTTTGAGACCTGCTCTTAGCCAGCTGACAAATTAGTGACTTTTTTTTGAGACTAGAGACGTTGTTGTTGTAACAGCATACAAGTCCACCAAATAGTTTTTGGAGAGTGTTGCTGGAGTGACAGTCCTTGGCCAGATATAAATCTGGGTCGTTCCCGTGACAGACTCGACTGTCGCGGGAACTAGAGACGTGAGACAGCGTACTGAATACCAAATAGTCTCAAAATCCAAGTTCACCACCAAAAGTCGCTATTAGTGACTAGAGACCGCGTACTGAATGCCAGGGTAAAAGGAGAACAGATGCAGAGGTGCACGGGAACGCAAAAAGCACTATTGCAACAAGAGTGGATTTAACTAGTAGTACGATAAAGAAATTGAAATGTATGTTAAAGAAAGTCAGAACAACAAGAAATATAAATGTATATCCTGTTTTTGTCCATCTGAATGAATTTTAAAAATTCCATAAAAATGTATTATGTTTGAAATGCAACCGTGGACCCCAGCTGGCAGGGAAGCTTGCAAATTTGCGTTCGTGCATAAACTTGCAAGTTTCTCAACATGAGAGAGAATTTGAGATAATTTTTTCTTACTCTCTGGAATCGGCGTAGCCAGAATGAAATTAAGGGGGGGCTCGACCCTGTTAAGCTGGCATTTCAGGGTACTATTATATATATATATATAAGGAAAATTTGAAAGTTAGGGGGGGGGGGGCTCGAGCACGTCGAGGGGGACCGAAACGCGTCGTCTGGTACCGTTCCCGACTTTTCCGGACCGTTTTTAGGGTTGTTACCCTATACTAGAGAACTACCGTTAAAGAAAAGTGTGAAACAAATGCTCAGCTGCCCCCTTTCGCAAACTTTTTTCTCAAAACCAGTTACAATACAACGTTGTAGCCGCTACAACAACAACAACAACAAAAGTCGCGTTTTTGCGTGATCTTGTATTTTTGGTTCATGCCAGAAATGGTATATTTCGGCCAAAACGGCAACCGTGCCAAAATGTTCAGAGCTCGTTCAGCAAAGCGATTTGAGAAACTGTGGCAGCCCGGCAATTTCGTTAAGTTATTAGGTGTGTACAAAGCGAATGTTAAAAGCAAAGAGCAATGTTAATAAATAAAATGGAATTGGTTTAGTTGAAAAATCCGAAAAAATTTTGTACAATTTGTTTATTGTTGCAACGAAGGCATTTGCAACCTTGAGTGAATGTGTTGCAGCTAATTAAAGCTCTTAATTGGGGTCGATTTTGATTGTGTCCTCAATGAACAGTGTTTTAACAGCAGCAATTAGCAAATAGCTGCACGAAGGTCTAAGCTGCATCTGAATGTTTTTGGGGCCTTTGCTCACGTATGTATTTTAGCATTTATTACTAGCAAATGAATGAATGAAGGGTTGCACCCTTCAAAAAAGCTTTACATGAATGTGTTTCGCTAATACTATTGTGGAGGCACATAGAAAATTGTTCGTTTCGCCGACTGGAGGTGGCAGTCTAATTACGGGCACCCATAATAGAAGCTACATCGAAAGAAAGGAAGAATCGGTCAGTAATACAGTACCAAAAATGTCGCGTACCAAATCGCGCATTCAAGTCGAAATATGCGGGGATTGCGGAGCCACAGGTTTGCAAATAAATTGAATTAAAATCTTATGAATTCGAAGTTGTTTTCCTGCACAAAGATCCATCGTGGGCCTCCATAAACCGCGGTATTTTGCTTTGTTCGGACTGCTGCTCCATACATCGTAGCCTGGGCCGGCACATATCCTTGGTAAAGTCACTCCGCCAAGGAACTTGGGAGCCGTCTGTTTTGAATTTCGTCAACTCGCTAAACGCACATGGTGCAAATAGCGTTTGGGAACATCATCTTCTTGATACTAACTCTTCAAAAGCTGACAAGGGCGTACCACGTGTTCGAAAGCCTAATCCAAAAGATCCCTTGCATCCAATAAAATTAGATTTTATTAAGTCTAAGCACGTAAATTTGGTATTCGCTTTGAAATCGAATCTTCAAGAGGAAGGCGTTATTTCTGGCATAAATCTGGAAAATGAACTTAGCAGACAACTACACGCAAGTGTTAGGACTAGCAATTTAGAAACATCTCTCCGCCTGATTGTGCAAGGAGCCAATCCAAACTTCTTTCATGAAGAAAAGCGATCAACGCCTCTGCATGTAGCCGCTAAATTTGGACAAGCGTCCCAAATAGAATTGCTTATCGTCTATGGAGCAGATATTAATGCAATCGATGGAAATGGTCTAACTCCACTTGAAGTTGCCAAAGCCAACAATCATAATATCATAGCAGAGAGACTTTTGGATGCAATGTACGAAGTGACAGATCGAATAATAATGTTTTTGGGTGGAAAGAAACCAGACCATTCGGTAAAATATACTTTTATAATGTTTAACTTTTAAACGAGATTTTCCTAATATAGTCAGGTGGCCACTTGATTATCCCGGAAACTGCTAACACTGAATTGAGCGAACAGCTTACCATTGCCAGGAACCGTTTACAAGTGGTTCCAAATAAAATGTTCGAAGAGTTGGTTATGGACTTATACGACGAAGTCGACCGACGTGAAAATGAAGCAAGTACGATAATTTGTAGTGATTTTTTTTTTTAGAAAATTACCACTTTGAATTCTATGATCGTTGTTTTAGTTTGGGCCACTTCTATGTTGAATGCCGATAACGCTGCAGTGCCGTTCTTGCCGGCAAATCCATTTTTAAGTGCCACTCGGAATCAAGTAAATAAAAAAAAAAAAAAAAGTACATTCAATATAGGTAATCCTAATACGCTGTATTCAAATACAATCATATAATAGGGCAGACAGAAACTAGCACGATTTTCCCGAAAAGAATTCGCTGGATTATTAACAGATGTTTTGTACGATGCACGCCGGCGACAAAAAATAGCAAGTTTGCGACCACTCGATGGACCCAATATTAATTCTTTTTATAATCCAGCATTGTTAACTGAAAATGAATTGGATCTGTCTGATGATGAACCGATTTACGATCCTGTTGCAAGCGATGACGACTATGCCCCCGTGCAACCTGTGGCACAGCAGGTAAATAATATGCGCCAAAAAATTTTAAAGTTGAATAATAGTTTTGGATAATTGTCAATAAGCAGATGTACTTTTCCGTGTGATAATTTTTGTCAATTTACAAGCCTTGTAACACAAATATAAAATGTAGATAAGAACTTTCATAAAATAATAAATACGTAGTGTATTGGAGCGGTAAGGAATTTTACATATAAATACATGTCTTTACCTTAATTCACAAAGGCCCTAACCAACACTTTTTTTGAAACTGCGTTTTTCACAGATTTTAGTAGGAAGTATTAAAATACACATCCAATAAAAATTTTGAAGTGTTAGTTCCAAAAACAACGGAGTAACATGCCTTACCTGTTTTTGGTACTAATTTTATAATGTTTTTTTTTGCTTCTCCTGTAAAATAAAAAATTTTATGGTAGGGCCTTTGAGAATTAAGGTTACGATATATTGTATAAATTTCACTCTATTTATTATTAGGTTTTTTTTTACATATTTATTTATGTACACTTTATATTTATCTGCACGTTTCCTACAATATATTTTATATTTTAAGTTCTTAAGCCTTTTATGATTTCGTATTCGCTAATTCAGGCTATTGTGCATCAAACGCCCGATGAGCCACAGCACGAAGTGCAGAACTTATTGAGGCAGATAAACGACTACAAATATGTGATCAATCAGCTCAAATCTACTGTTGAAAAGCTATCGTCTGAAAATTCTGAGCTGAAGTCAAAGTTTTCGAATGTTTCCCTGGTTTGTGCTATTAATGAAAACGTCGTTCATCAAGACTCACTGTGAGCTGTCTTAATTTTTATTTTTGATTTAATTAATTTATTTATTTTTTATCTCTTATGTTTATGTATATTTTGCCACTATGACAATATATTAATAAAGCCGAACCGACACAAATGGAGTTGAAAATGGACACGAATCGCTTTCACCTTCTGAGGATGTTGGTAGTGGCTCTGTACCTATAGATTCAAATACTTCTAGTTCCTCCTCGGCTAACAGTTCAAACCAGTCGACCATCAAACGTCCTGCAAGCATGTATGAGCGTCGTATCGCACCACCTTTATTCAAACCAAACGTTGATTGTCGAACAACGACCAGTATGTATCAAATGGCTGCTGATAAGCCATTTTCTGAAGAACTAAAACATCGCACAGACCTGGTGACACGTCGTGTTAAAGAACTTGTTTCTATAATGCAAGATTTGCCCACTAATAAAGATGATTTGATGCCTTGCGGGGAAAGAGTACGCACTGCTGTCATTGAACTGATTTCAATATTTACTACACCGGTAATTTAACTACTTTTTAAATAGTAATAAATTCATTAATCGTTCTTGCTAAAACTATTCACAGTCAAATTACAATGAAACGATCAGAGATATGCTAAAAACATTAACGCGTTATAACATTCTAATACCCCATGAATGTGAAAACTTGCAGAAATCGTATACTTTGGATGATAAGTCAGCAATTGAGAAGTACAATCACGAAGTGCGCGAGTGTGCTTATTACATTGTGAGCGCAATGAAAACTCTCGTCATGCAATTTGAATGACCTGCATATTTCAATGATAATACATATTTGTTCTTTTTGATTGAGTTATTCATCCCCTTACTAAAGTTCTAGCCTTAAACAAAAAAAAAATATGTTAGATGTTAATACTTACAAGAATTTTTAAAAATATTAAAAAATAATACATACACATCGTTATATCCATATATATGTACAAAAAGTTAATAAAATAAAAACGAATCAAAGTACATACTCCGATTCTAAGTTAAACTTTATAGCGGTTTTGATTTTAAATTAAAACTAATTGATGCATTTAGATAGCTACATATCGTCACTATCAACGCAAAAGGCCACATAGAAAGTGCTAAAAGCACTTTTTTGTAAAATGGTCTGCAGTAGCTATCATTATCGCTCACTTGGAGATCTGTCATTCTAAGAGGCTGAAAAAAGTGCTGCTTGCATTCCCTCTAGAAGGGCTAATCCATTTACAATTTACCCAGATGCATAAATTTATGTTGTTTAGCATTACAAATTAATTTCAATAAACATTTTAAGTTGCAATAACACATATTTGATATCAACCGTAAGCAAATACTTTAAAGAGGTATGATTTTTATAAATTAAAGAAACAACTTTAGAAGAACTCCTCCAAAAGGCCTTCTGAAGTACGTCCTATAAAAGCCCTTCTGGATAGCGAAAGAATGAGCCCTTCAATTTGTACCATTCCATACAAAAAAGAAAGGAGAAAGGAATGTAGAGTGAATGTCTTTGGAAAGGGCTTTCAACTCTTGAAATTATCTACTGGGTAGGCACCAGTCTTCAAACATAATAGGGCCAATAGTATTTTTGTCCGACACAAAAAGACTGGAGGAGGAAGGTTTTAAAAAAAAATATCAAATGTTTCTGAACAACACTTTATGCTAGCGTATACTTTTTTGAATAAATGGAGGGATAAATTCTTACTGCCGTGTAACGGTATATTACTTCTTTTAATTTTCAAATTGTATGCTGTTTTCGTGTAGTCGGAACAGTATTGTACCTTTGTACTTATTTTTCAGGAAAATCGCGTTGTGATATGTAGAGAAAAACATATTTTAATATATTATAAACATATGAGCTTGTTTATACTTGCATACATATTTAAAAATTTTTTACTTGTTAATTAATCTATAAATAAACCAAGAAAGAAAAAAAAATAGTATTTAGCACTAGCTAGTGGCACCCTTCTGCGAGGCGTGGGGATAATTTTACCGCACCCTTACATATTTAAAAATGTTTAACAAATAATCGTTATCTCAATTTTTATATATTTGATAAGCGTAGAATGAAACATAAACTAGATTAATCTTTTGTGATTATGTTTCAATTGTATAAACTATTAAAGCAGGTATTCTTAGCTAACATGCTTCATTTTGTACTAATATAAGTAAACTAATTCATAATTACTTTTACAAAATTAAAATTACTCATCTTCAGCCTCGGTAATTACAGAATTCGTTACTGGAGTTCCTTTTCTTTTCAATAACTGATTATAGTGCTCTTCACTCTGAATGCGCACAATCCTCTCTTGTACGGTGGGAGCCAGTTCGCAGCTAGCTTGTTCTAAGTCCTCCAAGGAAGGTCGTCGTAGCATCTTAAACAAAAACGATACCTTATTTTGAATGCTTTTGTTTAAATTTTTTGCAGCGTTCTTACCTTCGACGCTTTTGTGTTTGAAACATCTATAGATTTAGCGTGATGTCCTACAGATAGCTTCCTTATGGGTGATGGCCCATTTAGATCAAGATTGTCTAGCATTTGCACCATGCTGTGCCGTCGTGAAAGCGTGACTAAGGATTGTCGATGTTTGGTTTGATGATCGCCTTTTTCGTTGCGTAGAGTTATCGCTTTGAAATGGTTCTGTATTGCAAGCCCTAGTTCCGGACTAAGATCCTCATCGATCTTTACTTACCATTTTGAAAATGTGTCGGCTAGTTTAGAAATCTTTTGAAATAATGTAAATATTACCTACCAGAATGTTAGCATTTTTGAACATAGTGAAACCATCGCAACCGTTATATATGTATGATTTTATACATAATTTGTACATTTGCTGTAAATCAATTAACTCATCTGCCACTCGTATCAATCGCGGGTCTATACGCTTTCCCGGTGGTTTAGAAGGATCGAAGGCAAATGCTACACCACTAACCTATAATATACATACATACACACATATAAAAAGTTAAGTGAAATTAGGGTAAACTAAGGAATGTTCACTAAGATACTTGCTTGAGGAAATCTGCCTTCTAACTTGGGGTAAGCAGAAACAGCATTTTCTAAGGCTTCCCACAAACATTTTCCCGTAATTTCTACTAAAATCAGTGGATCCCGCATGGGGATAACATTCACCAAATCACGCATTGTAAACGGACCGGGCGGGTGTATTTGATCTGAACGAAAAGTGCCTGCGTTGATTATGACAATGTCCGCTCCGGTAGCCGCTAAAACAACATCACAAACCCAATTGCCCAGATTAGTTTCTTGGGTACGGATCACAGAAAAACGTCCTTCCAAATCCACGCTAAAGTTGCCCACAACTTCAGTCATTTTGGCTTCAATAACCTCTAAAATAGTAAAAATACTATAAATATTTATACATATACATATGTATGTATGTATGTACAGCTGCAAATACGAAAATAGCAGGTATTTAACTAATATTAAAACAATAAATGGGAGTATTTTCTTTCCCACATTTATACCAATTTAACAATATTTCAAATTAAAAATCATTATCAGTGCTTGGTAATTTTTTTACTTATGTGGTTCGTAAATTTTTTTATCAAAAAATTCATTGAAATTTTTCTTTTTATTGTACTTACAACTGAAGCTACCTTAATTTCCCAAGATTTTAATTTTTACAAACATTGTACTGACTTACCAGATAATTTTGACATATGTTTTTATTTTTATTTTTTATTTTACTGAATACACTTTATGCGGATTGATAAAAATCCACCATAGTGCTGCTATTTTCATGTTCTTAACTGTACGTACATACATTTCATTTTGCATTGATAACGGCCGATATGTAACGTGTGTACCAGATTTGTACACTTCCATTTCTGAAAATAATCTTCTGTCTAAAAATCTATACATACCTGAGTATTTGTCCAGCTCTTCTTTCAAGTCTTTATCTTCAACAAAATCCGAAGTAACATTTACTTGTTCAATGTTTACCACAACTTGACCATTCTCATCACGTTCCTTTTTTAAAACGATTTTTGAAAACTGGCGAAAATCTGTGCCTGACTTTACGATTTTCACACCATTAACTTCCTTGATTTCATACACGTGATCATGTCCACCCAAAATTAAATCTATACCGGGGCAGTTGGCCGCTAGTCTTATGTCATTTGGGGTTCTCATATGTGTCAATGCGATGATAATTTCACATCCCTCGTTACGCAGCTCAGATACTAATTTATTTGCTGCTTCGACGTAATCCGTATAGGTTACTTCGTTAGGGTCTATAGTGGGTAATGTTTCCAGCCACTCCCGCTCTACAAGTCCAATCATACCAATTAATATTTGATTGTGGCGCATGGCATGAGTTATCTTTCCCCCTCCAAGAGGTTTTCCTGTTTCGTTATCCACAACGTTAGACATAAGCCACGGAAAGGATGTATTTTTAATCAAATTGACTAGAACGTCCAGACCGTGATCTGCAAGTGGATTATAAAATCATAAATGGTAGTATGAAAGATATATATGCATATATACATAAATTACCGAAATCATGGTTTCCAAAGACAGCGCAGTGTGTACCAGTTTTTTTCAGCACCGGTATCATCTGTTCGCCCTGCGTGAACGTGCTTACTACATACATACATACGAATAATATTTTAATGTTAACGCTTGAATCTTTTTTTATAAAAATAAGCTCTCTTACACATGCTGGGAGAGAAAATATCACCACTAAACAGAACCAGAGGCTCCAAGTGCGAGAAGGATTTAATTGCGGTGCAAAAACGTGCCGCACCACCAACTGGTTCCTTCCCGCAATTCGGCTCGACATTGTAAACGTCGTTATAATGTAATATAGTTAACGATTCATCATTTATCTTAGACATTCTCAAGTTTCTTGCTTTTTCTAGTTCTCGTATTCTTGACTTGGAATAATTACGTCCAGTTAATAGTAGAGTTTGGCGGTCTAAACTTTGCGATTCCGTGAAAAATTTGCGTACGAAGAATGATAATTTTGGGCTCGCCACAGCTTTTAAGCTGTTTCTATAGTCTTTCGGCACTTCAGCACCATTCAAAACTAAATCTTTGAGCAACCCACGTGAACATTGGGAAACAGATCGTCTTCCAACTTGTCGAGCTCGAAATTGGGAGCTGAAATTTGCGAAAAAGAAGTACAGATGTATGTACATATGTATGTTAACATTATTCCCAATAAAATGTATGTACATACATACATACATATGCTTCCAAAATATTTTGATATACAGTGGGGAGCAGAAATGAGTACATGTGATTTTGTTTAACTATTTGCAAGGTTTTTAAAGTTGAATTTTTTTTGTTTTTTTGTTATTTTTTCATAAAAATCTAGTTTATCAAACTGTCAAACTTTATACACAACTTAGAATTAAAAAAAAAATTATTTAAAATTTTCAGCCACATCTTTATCAGAAAATCCCGAGAATCCAAAAATTGGTACTGTTACAAGTTGCAGGGCATCATTTTAACTCGACCTCCTCCCTGTTCAACGGTACATCGTTTAGAGGTTTAAAATTATTTGGCGTCAGCAATTTGTCATCGTATTACGAACCCTATCATCGAAAAAGCAAAACAAATTATTTTCGAACCTTTGCACCGGTGTACCGAATTCTAGCACTTTCTTTATTTTCATCCAACTTCACTGACTTAAAATTTTTTTGTACTTTTTCAAGAAACAAAAATTTTGCTGCTTGTGAATCTGGTAGCATGATTTTAGTTAAATGTCATAAACTTGTTAAAAGTCAAGTGTTCGGCTACAACAACGAATGTCAGTAAATGAAACTACCTTCTATTTTTGTATCAGCACTGTGTGTTTATTTTGCAATAGCAAGTAGAGATGGGTGCGGGATATCGGGACCCACGGTACAGATTTCAAATTGGCCGGGATTGGCGGTATCGGGAAGGTCTGTGAAATTTTGCGGGCGGGACGGGACCTTTTCCCACACTCCCGATCAAACAGCAACCTTGGAAAATTCGGAAAATCTTCTTTAAAAACGATGTGTGAAATATGGACTTTTTTTATCTTTTATTGGGACGAAAACGAACAGCAAAGCAAAACAAAAAATCGGAAGATGCCAGATCTTTCATTATTTAAAATTAATTTGAAAGACATGTGAATTTTTCTTAGTGATGGATTTCGGGATCCACGGGTTCCGCGGTAAAATTCTGAAAAACTTCACTTAAAAATTGAATTTCGGGATGAGCGGGATCTGGACTAAATTTTTAGTCCCGTGCCCATCTCTAGTAGCAAGGCACGTCTTTTGCAGGGAAGCCAACTCCTGGGGAATTCCCCCGATTAGCGGGAAATTTCAGTTTGCGTGGGGAATCGGGGAATGGACGTCTTTTGTGTGGCATTTCAACTCGTTCAATTCTAGTATAATAAAGTTTCAAATGGCCAAAAATTATCGCAGATATCTTAGAATTTTTTAATGGGCTAAAAAACTCCGTACTCAACTTTTTTCTAAATAGTGTAAATATAAAGTGCAATATTTGGATGCAAATTTGTACAACTTTCTTTACTTTTGCATGAGGTTTGGAACTCTTATTTTTGGGGTTGCCGGTGTTGTAAAAAATTCGCTGTACCTAAACTTTATTGGCTGACTGTATATGCAAATGAATGCATCACCCAGCCATTTTCCCATACCCACTACATACCAACTCCAATTCGCGTATGTATGTATGTACAAACAAGAATGGGATGTATGTATGTACACGAGCTGCCTATATTAAATATATCGATTTTATTATTTAACACTTTTTGTTAACAATTTTTCGCGAACTAAACCAACGAAGCATGTATATACAGACTTCAACTTGGTACATACATACATACATATCGTTGCCTTAATATAGAAAGGCCCTATCTCACATCTTCGCTGAAATGCACAAAGCCGTAACTAACTAAAATCTTTTATTGCATAAAACGATGTGAGGCCACATAATTCGATCAAATGCATCATAATCAATTAAAACGAAAATTTTCGATTTTTAGTTAGTTACGACTTTTTGTAAATCAGCGACGATGTCAGATAGGGCCTTTCTATATTAAGGCAACGATATGTAGGAGCATCTTTCACATTGTTTTTTTTTTTTTTTTAATTGAGGCACGGTTTTTATATTGCTAGAATAACGACACTAATTTTGCTTTAATTTTCTATCAATGCTTCGTACCCTAGAATTTTGAATAACTAGCTTATATCAATGTGAATTATTTTCACTGGAAACTGAGTACTTAGTTGTGCAGAAAAGAAATCTGTTTCCCATCACACTTCCTGTAAATTTACTTAGATGAAAATAACCTTACACTGACTTCCCATTGGCAGTCTCACACTTGTTTCATGACTTACTGCTTTTGTCACTTTACACAAGTGTTGCTTCTTTTGCATTTTAGGCCGTTCTAAATTCGCAATGTCAAAACTATGCGCGCAATTTTGTATGGGTATACCTTTGTGTATGTATGTATGTATGAATTGGCATACATATCTATACAATTGATTTTATTTAAATAGAAATTCATTTTTATACATTGTTATTAAAATTTAATTATTAAAATACATATAAAATGATTTTAAATAATATTCTGTTATTGATTATTTATTTATAAATATAAATAAAAAATAAATAGAGAAACTACTTAAAGTTGGCCCATATGCCTCCCAGCCAATTAACTTTATTGATGCAAGCGTAGAATAAAGAAAAAATATTTTGAAAATTTTTTTTTTTCCAAATATACATACTTCATGCATATATGTATATGTACACATGAGCATTTCCATTATGACGTGCGTGATCGTACGTACGCATAACTGAAATAAACCGTAATTTAAAACTTTTTTATTTTGACAGAGGGCTTAACTTAGCTCCTATTTAGCCCTATAATTGGTGCAAAAGATGATTTGGGCCAATAAAAACAGAAGTGGTTTTCGCGGCCAACATTTCAAGCGCCGATTTCAGCGAAACCTGAATATTTCAATGTGACTACTTTTATAATGTTGAATATTGATGTCTCTTAAAATTTGTCTTGATTTTACCCAAAAATTATTTATACTTTCTTAATTTAATTTTAATCAGTCGCACGGAACATTTTTTTCCATCGTAATACTTTTGTTTATATTGCTTTTAAACCTTTTAAACGAATTTTTAACGCAAATTAAACAGGAATTTTAGCTTAGGTTAAAAACATAGTGGAGTGGCGAGCATATCAAACGCTTTTTTCATAAGTGTATTAACCCGAAATTTCATATTTGTTAGAAAAGAGAAAAAAAACTTTTCTAAGCACTTTTCTAAGCACTTTTCTAAGACGGTTTTTTAAAATATCTCGATCCTGGCGTCACCTAGCAAGACCATTTTTCGCAAAAATGTTTCGACTTACATACATACCATGGCGGCATTATACCAGGTGAAGGAATTAGAGCGAGGAGAAAGATTTTGACACTATCTTATTTGAAAAATTGCTTTTAAAATTTGACTATAACTGGCCGTCTCCATAGGATAAATTTTATTGCTGTCCAGCTCTCATTTTGGTCGCTAGATATAAGTTATATCAGTGGCAATATTTGTAAGGGCTTTTTATATCTTGATATAAGCATTTGTGAGAGAGCTTCTAAAACGTATTTTTGCCCGACTTAATCCCTTCAAAAATTTAGAAAATTGGCTATTTTACATCCAATTACATAATAACAAATATTTTAACAGAAAACAGATCAATATTTGCTATTATATTAAAATATCAATAATGTTGCCGCCACGAAGTTTTGATGCAAATGAACGTGTAGCTGTCAAACTACCAAATAGCCGGCATATTGCCGAATGCTAGCAAATAAAGCGAGAAAGCTGTTTTATTACTTCACCTGTTTATTACGCCATGCATGCATACATATACTATATAGCCAGTATATATGAGTAGTCCACTTGCAAACAGCGTTATGTGATTTTATAATAGAAAGCCATAAATTTGAAAAAAAACGACTACGACAACAAGTAACATTTAAATTGAAACCTTTTTATTATTACCTAAAAATTTGGATAAATAAGGGCCTTATAAAATTGTAACGTAACATAACATGTCATAAGATAACATTAACAGTCTATACGACCTAAAGCAGTTTTCTAAGTTCATTAGAAGATGTATACTTTTGAATGTTTATAAATGATAGTATGATAGCGACTTTTGGAAGAAGACTTAACATTTGGTGCTATTTTTTCAGAATATAAAAAGATTTTGCACTCTGTTGTTACTGGACATGAAACTACTTTAAATACTGGTACGTAATCCACCAAAAACTAAAAATCGAAAAAATGTTACATAGCGCCCTTTGCAAGTGGACTACTCATATGTATTTTAAAAAGCAGACAAATTGGCCCATAAATCCGTTAGATAAATGACTTTTATTTTTTTCGTGGTGGGCCTTCCGATGAAAACGTCCATACATATGTATTACAGAGGACTTTTGTCATATGTCGCGACGTTATTTTTATCTCTTATTTTTTTTAAATCAGTTGAATAATATTTGGTTTCACAATTACATACATATTATCACCATATATTGCGGAACTCTGCATTTTATATACAACGTGAGTCAACTCTAAGAAACTCTGTTATACCAAAAAAACAAATACATATGTTAAAAATTCAAATAGCCCCGTTCAGCCCAGTAAAATTAGACTTTTTCTTAAAAAAAAATTTGTAACAGCAAATTGTTTGATGCAGTTTACTTCCTAAATTTCCGCCATCTTGGATCTAAGTTTTTTTGGGGTTTTTTCCAATTTGCAAGCTTATTTTGCATTTTTCGTAAAAAGTGATTAAATACAAAAATGTAGAGAATTTAATTTCCCACGTTTTTTATATAAAAGGTTAAAAAAAACATTTTTTATTGTAAGAAATTAGCAAAAACTGCGAAAATTTTGCCATTGTCACGGATTTCGCCATACTTTGACAATTTCAGTTAAAAATACATAGTATATTGAAGTTCCAAAGTTGTAGAGAATTTCATTCTCCACAACTTCTGTGCCAAAGTTTTTTTTGTACGACGCTTAGATCAAGGCCAGGAACGCGATCAGCATAGCGATGTACCGGATGCGCCGTTCAACACCTTCACCTGCTTTCAATTAAAAAAAAAACAAAACGTTGCCCGTGGAGTACGCCTACTGGGGAAACCCCGTTAAAAAACGGAAAAACTCTACCTCAGTGGTGGTGTAAAAATATGTTTTACGGCACATTCCGTAACAACATTCCAACAAAACCATGTGGGCACAAAAGTTGTGGAGAATGAAAAAAATTTTCGCAGTTTTTGCTACTTCTTTACAATAAAAAATGTATTTTTAAAAAAACCTT